CTGGTGACCCCCAGGGGGAGGGCCTTCTCTGTGGGGGCACCTACCCTCTGGAATCAGTTGCCCCCAGAGATAAGGAGAATCCAAGACCTTAGTGCCTTCCACCGTGCCCTTAAAACCCACTTTTTCCAGCAAGCCAGGCTGGCTTAAGAAGAAATTTTAAATGTTTTAATTGGTTTGTATTTTTAATTTTGGGCCAAATTTATATATATTTTAATTGTTTTTTAATATTTGTATTTTATGTTTTTTAATTCTGGCTTTACACCGCCCTGAGTCCTCAGGGAGAAGGGCGGTATATAAATTTTAAATAAATAAATAAATAAATAAATAAATAAATAAATAACAACAACAACAACAACAACAACAACAACTTTCTGATGTTATACTTTATGTTGTATTCTGATCTTATATTTGCAACTGTTGCATCACCATCATTCCAGCTCCATTAGAGATCACTGACAAACATGAGCAATTTTGCCTCAGTATTATGCTCCAGACTGAAACTTAACTGATAATGCAGATAATTCATTTCCTCCAAAAGGGGAACAAACTGTTATTCTGATGAGAGGTAAAAATAGGGAAAAAATGAAATAATTTCTACCGAACCACTATAGTAACATGTTACTATAAATTAGAAGCTCCAGCTATTTCTTTTGGGGAAACACACCAATTCATAAAAGTGATCGAAAGGGGGGGAAAATCAAATTTTAAAAAATCAAATTTTAACTTCAAATTCTAACATAGAATAACATACTCTGATGTGGAGAAGGATAGATTAAAGGTAGATTAAGGGTTTTGACTGCTATTTTCAACTGAGAAAAACAAAGATGCAGCATTGCAGTTCGACCACAAGATGGTACTGGTCAGCTACAAACTGCTAATTTAATACACAGTTCATAATATTATCATCCTCTCTCTTATCAAAGAAACATTATTACGACAGACTGTAAAACTGAATTCATCCCAAGTACTGTATATATTAATTATTCCCCAAGTTATACAGAGACAAGAAACAAAAAGTCTTATCTAACATTTATAAATAAGCACAAATCAAAATAAATCTAAACATTTATCTATTTCTACAGAAAAAAATGAATTTTAGGGCCAACTCCTCTGCTTGTTTTTACTGGTTACCTTAACCTAGTTTCTTAGGACAATTCTAGCTATATTTTCAGAGTTGTTCAGGAGATAGTTTTCCCAACTCAGAAGCAGGAGCTCCTTGATACAAACAAACAGAGGTTCCCAATTTTCTTCAAAAGATTTAAATCTCATACATTCAATAAAAAGGACAGGATGAGGAAATCTGACTTTTGTGTACAGTGGTACTTTAAAGTTTGGGTACCTACTGTATTTCTAGCCATAAATAACCTTGCTAGCTCTGTTAAGAAATGTGATTAGGAAATTGAAAGTAAATGCAGAACAAAAGCTTGATGTTACGGCTTTTAATATATGCTTTTTATTTTTAAAATAAAAGCTGTTTATTTAGTCATGTCACATCCATGAAGCTTCTACAGTTAACTGTGTGATATTAAGTTTCTGGAGAGAGGAGATTCATTGCTGGTTCTATGTCTGACAGATATTGGTAAGAATAATAATTATGCAATTATATATTTTACTTCAAATCTATCATTTTGACCAGGTCAATAATGAAGAAGGATAACAATATATTAAAAATAGAGAATACATAAAAGCAATATGATTTTTTAAATAAAATATACAACAATATTCACACGATAAAAGCAATTCTAAAGACTTGAAATAAGCAGAAGCCAAACAACTCCTAAGAAAGCACATTCCACTGCTTAGGAATGACACATCATAGTGTCTTAGATAACAGACAACAGATCTGGTCCATCAGCTTTCCAGATTCCCACAATATAGTTTCACTATGGAAACTATGATGGGAAAAAAAAGAGAAAATAGCAGTTGAAATTTTACACAGCCCAAGCAAAGTAACTGATATAGAAAGAATATTAAGCTATTTGTCTCTTCCTCTCTTCCTTTCCTTCCTCTCTTCCTCTCTTCCTTATAGCTATAGTAGGATTTCTCTTACCAGCATTGTTAGTGATTCCTTACAGTCTACTTTTACTAACTTCATGCCTTCCAAAAATTACTCCTAGAAAAAGTACTGAGGCTCCATACTGCAGATTAAACTAATTTTAGTAAAATAAACATATTTTGATTGTTTATATTACTACTAATATTTTTATTTTATTATGTGCTCTACCTTCTGAAGAAGTTTACAACAATGAACAAAATAATACAATCCTTAACTTAAAAAACATGACAATGACTAAATCCTGTAAAAGACAATAAGAATGCAAAAAATAATAATCAAAGTTTATTTTAAAAAATCTGTCTAAAAGGCAATCTCCTGGAGCAGCTATTATCTTACAAATATCTGACTGCTCCTTAAAAAACTACAGGCTTGGTATCCTGCAACTGATTACTATATCCTAATAATGCAACAGTAAACATTTGCTATGGCCTTCAGACAGTGGTGAAATCCTCCGCAGGTTGTCACTGGTTTGCTGCCCACGCATGCACGGTGCGCACCAAACACACGCTGTGCATGAATGCGCAATGCGCACCAAACATGCGCTTTGCATGGAAAAGGAGCCTTTTGAAGGTAAGTAGAACAGTGAGGGGGGAAACAGTTGTACTGCACAATTTAGATTTGCTAGAAAGCAGGATTTCCTGCTTTCTAGCAAATTTAAATTGCACGGCACAACTGATCATCGGAAATACTGGTTCAGACAAACTAGTAGCTTTTTTTTATTACCGGTTCGCCGAACCAGTAGCTTTTATTATTACTGGTTCACCCGAACCGGTGCGAACCGGTAGCATTTCACCCCTGCCTTCGGACTCTTAGCATGCTTGCCCAACACTATTCCCACTTTCCATTTCATACCATAACATAAACAAGTAGAGCTTCACTCATAGCCTGAAGCTATGACATAATCTATTGCTATAAATACAGTGTATTCTAAGAAAAAATAATATTCTAGGTTTTCTAGGTATAGATCCAGATAACCCACTTCCTCCTGAACCTTTTGAAGGTACAGACCTACCACTTTCTCAATAAAATTTTAGCCCCTCTCTTCCCCTTAGGGTGGAGACTGGAGTCTCTCCCAATCCACATAAATAATCCAGAAGTATATTATGTCAGTGGTAGTGAAAGCTACTGGCTAATATAAGAGATTAGGATAGTTGCATCACCATCATTCCAGCTCCATTAGAGATCACTGACAAACATGAGCAATTTTGCCTCAGTATTATGCTCCAGACTGAAACTTAACTGATAATGCAGATAATTCATTTCCTCCAAAAGGGGAACAAAAGAAGGATGAAGATTGGCAAAAAATTGTCCAGTACTATTGGGTCCAGGCATGGCCTTTTAGGAGAGGCAGACTATCACCTCCTTTAAAGTAGATGGAAATACCATTCCAGCAAGGAAGCATTTACTATCGCTTGAATCCAGCTGTGTGTCCTCAGGAGGCCTTAATCAGCCAGGAAGAACATTGGTCTAATACACTGGTACCAGGGTATTACACAGTCCCAAGGACTCCAATTCATCTTTTCAAAAGCTACACAATCAAATTGAGCCCAGATAACCAGACAAGACTAAGGTCATCTCCCTAGGTTTAGAACAGCTGGAAGTTAGCTTTGAGTGGATCCTAAAAATTTTTTTCAATAGGTGTTTGGCATAATTTTCACAGTGGCCCTAGAAAGGTTTATCTAGCCACTTTCTTATCCAGAAAGGACCAGATCACCTGAAACAAGATCACCAGGTGACTAACTGCAGGTTCAATGTCAAAGAAATAGGCATGTTTCACCACCCTTATTACCACAAGTTAATCCTTAATAAAGGCTCTTATTTTATCTATCTGGTCAGAATCATTCTTCATCTTCCACCAGAGGTACTATAGGCATCTCTTATGCTACTTCATCTCCCAGAGTTCCTCTGAGAACCAGGAGTACATCTTGGTTCCAACCACATAGAGACTTTAATAGATCCAATCTAAGGCTGCTGTCCCTTGTTCATGCTAAGCAGTGACTAAGGCCTCAATTGAAGCATAAACCAGAGCTTCAGAATTACCCCAAGTTTCCTTTAGAATTCTATCAGGTCTTTCAGGCAATTAGGATGGAAGAGGTTGCCCCTCCTCTTGCAGGAGGGGCAACTTGATAAGCTCCAAAACTAGCAGAAAGTGATTCATCGGTAATTTTAAAATTCAGTGACACCTTTATTTTACAATGAAGTTTGTATGCAGATTTCTATAGCAATTTATGTCATTTGCAATATGACATTGTTACACAAATTTGTCATTTCTATATTGAAAATGAAAATTTGAATGAAAAATTGTCATTTGTGTAACTTATGAAACTGACAAAAATTGACATAATGTAAATTGCATCAATGCTTATAATGTTGTCCTCATGCAATTGACAGAAAATTGTTATGATGAATGAACAGTCAAAATAACAGACATCCTTCCTTACCAACTGGTCTTTTAAATCAAGATTTCACATTTGTTGCTTGCTTTAAAGTTGACTTTACATACACTAAGCACTTAGAAAACAAACAACATATTTTTTACCCACAATCCTAAACTCAGGGTCAAGGTTCGTTCCCCGAGCTTGTGAGTTGGTTTCCGAACATTCGTTAGCAGGCTAGATAACATCTTCAGCGAAGTTTAGGGAATGTTAGTGTCAGTGTTCCTTCTGTTCTAAACTCCACTGAAGATGTTACCTAGCCTGGTAACGAAACATTCGGAAACCAATCCACAAGCTCAGAGAATGAACCTTCACCCTCATCCTATACCCGAGCTACAGATATTCGCCACTATTGCAAATCCTAAACTATTTCAAAAGAACACTCATTTTTAGGGGTACTGTCATCTATAGTTTTTAAACTTACAAATGCAATGTCTTTAAAATACATTTTAATAAAATGTATTTTAACAATACATGAAAAACAAGAACTATAGCAAATCATGTCATACCTTCATCTACAGAGGCTTCACTACTATACCCATCATACTCTGCAGACAAAGGGCTATATTTTTGTCTGGTTTCCCAACGATAATTTTTCTGTTGTCTACTGTTGCCTGCTGGTGGCCATGAACTCTGGGTTCTTGACAAGGCTTCATGGTATTTACCCAGTGCCTCATCTTCACTGTCCGATGATGAACCATGCTGGTCTTTATTTATATATAAGTTATCTATTTTGGGAAAAGAGAAAAAAATTAACAGATGGTGCCATCCTAAAGTTATATTTAGTTAAGCACTGACAATCTTAAATATCAAAATAACTGGACAATCAACATAAATGTATTTCTATTAATGCTTCAGAAAGCACAAAATGTCTAGTGAAGAAATAATAAGGTTCTCAATAATTTAATTCCTCCATTTGTGCTTTATTTTATCCCATCTAAGTCATTTCATTGGCATCCTTCAATCTCAAGAGGTGATGGTATCGTGCTCTTGAAAGAGGTCCTAAAACAGCATCTAGTGTGACTAAAAAGGCCAATTCGAGAGTGGCAATCCCTTCCACACTGAGGGCAGAAACATTCTGTCCCCTGCCCAGCCCCCAGATTTCGCTGGTTCCGGGACTGCCTCTTTGCCTAAGTATTTCACTGAATTTCTCATTTTTCTTTCTAAAAATCTGGGTATCAGATTTATAAATAACATTGAAACAAGCTGTTTACATTATTCTGTTTGTTGGATATATATATCCTTATTAAGAAAACATGTTTTTCTTTTTGAGCAGAAAACCTCAGTAGGATCAGATCCTATTAATATTTGAAGAGAAGATCACAAGAAAATTGCAAGGAAGTCAAAAAATTGGGAAGATTGGGAAGTCAAAAAATACAGTTCAAGAAAACAATAGGAAATAGTTCTATATTGTTGCTATGCAGATTAATGGATGATTCCAGGAAGTCACAACTTCCAGGAGTTGTGTGTCTAAAACAAGTCTTTTTCTTAACAAGCAGGAAAAGAACTGCATTATAACATCATAATTTTTATGTTGGTGGTTCTCTTTTACTATTAAGTTTTCAGAAACTGCCTCTGGGTTAAGCTTGTTACATTGTAAGCCTTATGCCCAGACTTTCTTTATGTAGACTGAGCTTCTCCAAAGTGTGTGTGACCCCCCCCCCCCGAGTTTTTTGTGGTACTTTTATTCCTGGGGCTTGACTTTCTTAAATATTGTTAAAGGGTTGTTTTAAGCTTTTTGGAGTATACTTCCAACACGGCTGGAACAGCTTTTTACAGAAGGGTTGGCATAGCCATAGAAGAAATGGCTGAGAGGCAGGATGCAAGCTTGGCATTCTGATTTTTTTTACTGCCTTTCTGAGGGCATGTGATCTTTCCTTAAATCTGGATGATTACCTAAGGATATCTTGTGAGATGAGTGAGACCAGCTGGTATCTTTAAGTGGTGCAAATGGATCTAATGATTGCTTCTCCTGGGTAGGAAACTGTGCTTTGTCAGTTCACTGAGCACAGAGTCTCTTGTCTATGGGGATTCTTCAGTCATCCAGGTCATGGTTGTCCCAAAGGTGCTTTTTTCAAGAGGCAACTGGACTTTCTTGGTTTCCAGAAAGTCCAGTTGCCTCTTGAAAAAGCACCTTTGGGACAGGAGTCTCTTGCATTGCTTCGAAGTGGGCAAGGCACATGATTGCTCACTGATAATAAGTGGATCCTCCTTCCAATTTGTTTTAATTTTCTCTCATGATAATATGGCATAGTAACATGGCAGCAATTGTAGAAAGTTATCAGCCACCCCTCTCCTAGAAAAATGAAATATTTTGAGAAATATTAAAAAGGAAGAATATATTTCCCTGAATGAGAAATGGAGAAACATGTTTTCTTAGAGGGAGAAAGCAGCCCCCACCGCCCTTAATAGCCCACAGAAAATGTCAACACTTAAAAGAGATAAAGAGTTAGATAGCTATATTCATAGGCAAAAATTCCCTGCAGCAAGGTCAGAACAAAGGCAGAATGGGATTAGCCCTCACTCAAGATATTAATTTGTTAATCTGTCTCTTTAGCTGGACATTTTGTAGCCCAAATATGCCCAACCCAGTTTCTGGATAGCTTAAATGACCTCTCTGCTAAAGGGTTTCACTTTATGAGCAAGAGTAATTTGGCTGCTGATAGTTATCCTTATATTTTAACTATTTTAATTCCTCAATGTGCTCTGGCAACCTGCCTGATTTGTAACTCCAAGTTGCAGGTATTGCTGAGGAAAAGGAAGGCATTCAGACAGAATGGTTTAGATTTTCCATGACGGCTGTGACTCATTGATCTTCAGTGTGTATTCACCCATTTCTAATCTAATGACTGGTATTTATGGCAGCTTTTTGCAAGCAAAGAAGCTTTTTGTATTTTTGTACAGGTAATCCCTGATTTACAATGGTTCATTTAGTGACCATTCAAAGTTACAAGGGCACTGAAAAAAGTTACTTATGACCGTTTTTCACATTTACGACCATTGCATCATCCCCACGGTCATGAGAGGGCGGGCAAGGTGAAGTGCCCCTCAACGTAAGTGACATTGAGTTGGCCACGTCCACCCAGCCAGTCATTAGGGCAGAGAACCAATTGTTAAAAAATTTGCAGACCACCACTGCTTTACAGCATATTTTTCTACAAAAATATTGCTTATTTTGAGGAGTGGCAGGAGACAGATATTACATTTGTGCTGCTGCATTACTCTGAAGCACCTTTTTGCCTTCAAATCCAAATATTACATAGTCTTATAAGAGAGCCCTTCTGAGCCACAGGGATAAAATTTGGAAGTGGTGAAAGAAGAGAAGAAGACATTTTATGAATTGTACTTTCATTCATAAAAACAGAGCTACAGCTCTAGAAAAATATATATATCATAAAAAGAATTGTTTTATAGATAAATCAATTCCATAAAACACCTAAGAAGAATGTAGTAAAAGATCCAGGAAAGGTTGAACGTATAAAGCATGGCTATGATATGACGCCTCACCTTTTTCTGGTGTCTTCTTACTACTCACTTCTTTTAAAAAACTTTCTGAGTACTTAGTCTTTTCCTTTTCGCTTTTCTTTAAAAGATCAGATGTTACATTTTCTTCTTGCTTTGTCACAAGTGTCTTGTATTTCTTTCCTTTTACTTGATGAAAACGGTTTAGTTTTTCAGATCTTGAGTCTGGCAGTTCCAGTGTTTCTTCCTCAGTTTTTTTCAAACTCCTGAATGAAATACTGTGTACTTCTTTAGTGTTTTTCAAGTTAAGTTCTGTTGGTTTTTGTTTTATTTTTTCAGACAAGCTTTTATTAGTTTGATTTGATACAGTATGTGACTGTCTATCTGGTTCTTGATTAAGAAATTCTTCTGGCTTATAAGTACTATAATTCTCTCTATTATTTTTTGATATATGTTTTTCTAAGTAATTAATTTTGCACTGAGCATGTTTTACATGTGTCTCACATATTTTTGTCTCTTTAAAAACATTCTTTGGTTCAGGAACATTTTGCTGAGAATCTACTTTGCCTTTATTAGGACAAAACTCCCTACCATCATTTGTACATTTTTTTGAAGAAGCACTTTGCCTGTGTTTTTCTTCTGGTACACATTCTTCTCTCACAAAATTTTCTTTAATGTTATTTAGTGATGTTACTTTTTTATCTTTGTCTAATAGAGGTTTATCTTCTTGCACTGTAGTTGTGCTTTCTGTCCGAAAATTGCTGAACATGTTTGTTACCTGCTCTGTAACGGAGTCAGCTACTGTGTAGCTGACATCACCAACTGCACTAGTAAGATCATCTACAGCATTACTTAATGTGTCAACCAGAGAAGACACAGAAGGAAGACTCAGATTTTGTTGCAAATGTTTGAAAAATGACATATTTCAATTCTATATTAATAAATTAATATTACAAGAAAATTACAATATTGCGAATGTCTCACTCCTGCAATTTATTTTCCTTTAACTAAAGGGCAAATAATATTAGTCCTCTGATTTTATTTTTTTAAACGTAAAAAAGAAGAACAAATATTTTCTTTATGAAGCCAGAATCAATCCTTTTCTAGGATTCTTACAATATTATAGTAAAACGTGAACTACTTATAACCAGATATTTAAAATATTGAACAGCAGGTGCTGAATTTTATTCTACACCTGCAAAGGAAACATTTAAATATTTAAATAATATAACAAAATGAATATGTTTTGGGCTAGTACAAAACAATAATCAATAACATACATCCCCTGCCTTTTCCTAGCATAAAGAATTTATAAAACATAATTTCATTCCAGATTGCAAACATTCTAGAGCCGTGATGGCGAACACGCGTAGCCATATCAGTGGGCACGCCAGCTCAGTTCTGGCACGCATGCGCGCACCTGCCAGCTGATTTTCGGGCCTTCTGGGCCCACCAGAAGTAGGGAAACAGGCTGTTTCCTGCCTCCGGAGGGTCTGGGGGAGGGGAAAGGCCTGTTTTTCTTTCTTAGCTGGCTCCAGGATCTGGAGGCAGGTAACAAAGAAAAACGGGCCTACCGGGCCATCACGTGCCAGGAGCAGGGGGGGGAGAGGGCGGTTTGCACGTACATGCGCAGGGCAGGGCACATAGAATTGTGGGCACGCATGCACGCGAACGTTCCCCACCCACCCCCTCTCCTGGCACGCGATGGCAAAAAGGTTAGCCATCACTGTTCTGGAGGAATGGATGTGATCTAAAGAAATATAAACAAAAAAGCCTAATTTAAATTAATGTATTTATATAATTTCTGGTTGCACTCAATGTAAATAAAAGGCAAAACCCATCCACCCTACTCATCAATGAGATGTTTTGATACACTGCAGCAACATCCAGGTCAGGGCCATAATGGTGCACTCAGTAGTCAGAAAGACCAATGTATCAGAAAGGAAATAACTCAATAACTAATCTTAGCTTCAGCTGGATAGTCTCTTCCATCTCTAGCTTTTTATATTGAGGAATCTCATATATTTTGGAAAATATATTTGTTTTGCTATATATTAACATGATGATATAGTTTATTAATTGTATTTAGGAGAGTATTTTTTCCAAATGTTTTAAAAGCTTCAACTAAATAAAATGAAATAATTTCCCTAAATAAATAATTATGACCAATCACTACAGATACATTAATAAAAATATTTAGGAATTTACCAGATATGTTTTTATTTCAACCAAACTTTCATTCCATGATATATTACTGCCCTAGAAGTTTCCTATGTCTTTCAAAATCATACGTTGCAGAATTTTATACTTACGCAGTTTGTCCTGTGAATTTTTTTTGGCACTGTAATGGGAATTGAGGTCTGGGAGGCCGCCAATATTTTCAAAACACATCTTCTTGTTAATATACAGAAAAAGAATCAACAGCAAGATGACAAGTACCCCAACTGCTGATAGAAATCCAACTGCCTCAGGAGATACTAGAAGAAACAAAACCTAAATCAGAGTGCAAGACTAATTCAATTTATAATAATCAGATTATCACATCTCACCCTAAATTATATCCAAGTACATAATGCAAGTAGTCTTCAACTTATGATCATACTTGAACCCACAATTTTGGTCCTAAATCAGGGGTGAAATGCTACCGGTTCGGACCGGTTTGGGAAAACCGGTAGCTGAGATTGGGGCTGGTTTGCCGAACCGGTAGCAATTGCTGGCTAGCCACGTCCCCTGAAGTCCGTGGCCCGCAGCCCTGCCATACTTCCCTGCCTTCCACGCGGCCTTCCCGGAATCCCCGTGGCCAGCTTGCAAAGGCAGGTAAGCGGAAGGCCACATGGAAGGCAGGCAAGCATGGCAGGGCTGCAGGGAAGGGAGCTAGGAGCCTACTCCCTTCCCTGTAGCCCTCCCATGCTTGCCTGCCTTCCACGCTGCCTTCCTGGCAGTCCCCCATGCCCGCTTGCCTTCCGAAGTCAGCGTCCAGCCCGGCCTGGCCTGTGGGTGGGCAGGCGGCCCTTGGTGGAGACACAGCTGCTACTCTGGGGCTGAGAAGGGCGGCGGAGGTGGCAGTGGTGTTCCGGGAGGACAGAGCTGCAACCGTCAGCTTTACCAACGCTCCCTGTCAGAGGATCCCACCACTGGGTTGTTCCTCCCTTCCCCCTCACTCTTTGCCTGCCCTGAGAAGAGAAGGGCAACTGCGGCAGATGGAGACTCGCTCCTTATTCCAGAGCAGGAGCAAAGTGCCCCTCTACTTGCCTGTTTTTCTGGCCCCTCATCTCTTTCTTTCACCCTCTCTCATTTGTGTGTATGAGGATGCGTGCATGCGCACCTGCATGTTCCCTCTTGAACCATTTCCAAAAACAGGCAAGGGTTGAGTTTGTTTGGGTTTTCTTTGCTGATGTTGTTCTTTCTTCATTGGGTGCTTTTTACCATATGATTTAAATCAAGAGTCATTTCAGGTTCCCAGATAAATGAAGCTCTTTCGTTCACCTGCTGTGGTTCCATGTCAGCTGGCTGCTCCCCCTTGCTCTTCCCTCCCCCTCACTCCTCGCCTGTCCTAAGAAGGGCAATGGTGGCAGATGGAGACTCACTCCGTATTCCAGAGTGGAAGCGTAGTACCCCTCTACTTGCCTCTTTTTCCAGCCCTTGTTGGGAGATGCACGACTTTTCTCTGTGCCTAGACACTGGCTGGGCTGCCTGGCTGCAGCCAATGCTCCGTGTTGTAATGGGCTCCAGGAGGAGGAGGAGGGGACAGTGGCTCCCCCATTGTGCAGCGCGCTACATTTAAGTGCAAAAGCAGCAAGTAGCCACGGAGGCGGCAAGAAGAATATGGAGAGACACACCCCAGCTGGTGTCTCGGGCGGAGAAAGAAAGAGAGACAGAAAGAAAGAAAGAGGAAGGAATTTTTGGTTTTGACCACTGGTTTGTAGAGAGGATTGGTGGTGGTGGTGGGGAATGTGCGGCCCACCGGGATGGAGAACAGAGCAAGAGAAGGCTTTGATGTTCGCTTGGGTGGCGGAGGGAAACTCAAAGCGTTGGGGGCTTCAGAAGGGACAGAATGTGCTTCAAAATGTACAGCTCCTGGTTCTAACAGTGAGTGTTGTCAAGTTGGCCACACCCACCCGGTCACATGACCATCAAGCCACGCCCATCAAGCCATGCCCACATAATCGATAGCAAACATTTTTACCTTTCACCCGTCCTAAGTCATGATGGTCATGAAGAGGGTCACCATGTGGCCATGCTCAACCTTACAATATTTTGCAGTAGTCATTAAATGAACGCCATGTTTGTTAAGTAAATCTATTGATCAGGCTCAAGGCTGACTCAGCCTTCCATCCTTCCGAGGTGGGTAAAATGAGGACCCAGATTGTTGGGGGCAATATGCTGACTCTGTAAACCACTTAGAGAGGGCTGTAAAGCACTCTAAGTACTATTGCTATTATGGGGCAGTTTTGCCAGAAATCAGAAATAAGTGCGTTTCCATCAAAATTGTCATGCAGGTAGTCCTCAATAACATTCAATGACTGTTTAAATTACAGTGGTGCTGAATGAAGGAATTTACAACTATTATTTGAAATTATGGCCATTGCAGTGCCCCTGCAGCCACATGATTGCAATCTGGGCTCTTGGCTTGTGGTTGTGCACTTACAATAGGTTGCTAAACCGTCTGTGAAAATGTGATTAGCATTTGCAATCTTCCCTTCTGGCTTCTTCAGAAAGTCAACTGGGAAGCCAGCAGGGAAGGTTTCAAGTTGCTTTGTTTTTACAGCATAGTGCACCAGCTCCCCTCCCCACTATGGGCTAGAAAATCCAGGGAGGATAGGGCAATTGCCATGCTGCTCCAGAAAAATGAAACTCTCCTAATATTGTTTATCCAGTGCATCACACCAGCTCCCTATCCTGGACTAGAAAGAAAGAAAGGGGAGGAAAGCCAGTATACTGGGCTAGAAAAAGGAAACTTGAATCATTGTGATCCAAAGCTTCCTTTCTCCAGCCCAGCACACCAGTTCTGTGCCTGGAAGGGAGCTGCCTATTCTCTTTCAAAAGACAGCTCTTTTGCTCCATTTTTAGCAATTTTTAGTAATTAAGCAAAGCGATCACATGGACGCTTCACTTCGTGACTTCAATGACCTACAACTGTAATGGGCAGGCTCCATTACAGTACCAAGTCTAGGACTACCTATAAACTGTGATCACATGACAGCAGGACACTGGAAGCGGTCATAAATATAAGCCAGTTGCCAACAGCTCAACATGTGGTTATGTGACATAAGAGTGCACCCAAATATTGGAACTTTGAATCCAGTGTCATGAAGGATTCTGAGTCTGGCAATGACATGGAGCCAGCTCCTGAGATATCTATGGAAGATTTATTTTATTTTATTTTTATTTTATTTCCAATTTATATACCGCCCTTCTCCCTGAGGACTCAGGGCGGTGTACAGCCAGAATTAAGAACATGAAATACAAATATTTAAAAACAGTTAAAATATATATAAATTTGGCCCAAAAATTAAAAATCACAAACCAATTAAAACATTTAAAAATTTCTTCTTAAGCCAGCCCGGCTTGCTGGAAAAAGTGGGTTTTAAGAGCATGGCAGAAGGCACTGAGGTCTTGGATGAGCAGTTGGTGCCAGTTGAACAGCCAATTGACCAGGCAGAAGGGGTGGGATTGGCCGACAGAGAGAGGGAACAGCTGCTGCTGTTATGCAATGAGGAAGATGAACTGCCACCCCTTTCCAATGCAAGGGTACATAGAGCAAAGTGTAGGGAAGAGCAGTGGATGTCAGCGAGGCTACTTGTGAGAAAGCAGTCCCACTGTGCCAAATGAGGCACACCAGGCTGTTCTGAGGAGCTTGGAGTTAGGACTGATGTCAGAAACAATCCTCAGTTACTCCAACTCTTTGTGCCTTGCCTCATTTTGCCTCACCTCATCTCACCTCATCCCTTTGCCTAATGCTTTTGGGAACCGACCGGTCACAACCTCTTCTATGCCTTGGAATCCAGAACCATTTGACCCCTCTTGTGCTGACTCCCTGGAACTTGAAATTCTTTATTTATCCAAGTTACTAGACTGATAGGAATTTGGTTACATGCATTGGCACATGATTTTTTGTTCCATTATAACTAAAAGTCTGCAATTACCTCTTGGGTGTGTGCATGTGCTTGGCCTGAGACAGGACATCTGGGTCATAAGTAGCTTTTTCAGAGCTACCATTTCAGAGCTACCATTTCAAAACCATTTCAGAGCTACCATTTCAAAATGGTAGCTAAGTGATTGGTCATACATTGACAATTAGCTGTAGGATAATTTTAAAACTTAAATCTGACTTCACTACCAATCAGTGACAAATTGCTGACTCTTATTTTAGAATGTCATCAATGATCTCTGCATATCAATTCTATCAACCTATCACTGAAGGCAAATTGTCTCTTCCAATGATCCCAAAGAGTAGTTGTAGTCAAACTTTTTGCATCATGACAAGTCTCCAAACCAACTGCCTGTATTTTTTTTAAACAAGTTTTATTGGTCCCCCCCCCACATTCACCCACATCTTTTTTGAACAGAGTATTGGCCATATCTTATCTTATACAATTAATCAAATTCAAATACATTTTACTCAATTACAGTTTTTGCCAAAATCTTTTCCCCCTTTTTTAAATCATGTCTCAATATTTCTATGCTTACTTACATAAACAACATCTTCATTTGCCATTAAATTCTAAATATTGCTATTTATTCATATTTGTTCTCTTTTATTCTTTAAACAATTCATTCTTTATCTTAATATCTTTATATTTGTTCGGGGTTGCCTTTCTTCCATTTCATCTTTTTTATTGTACAGCAATCTTTCTCCTCAAACCTACCACCTCTCTCTTTTCTTTCCTTCTTACTTTCTCTTCCACTCCTCTTCCCCTCTCTACTTCCCCTTCCTTTCTCCTTCTCCTCCTCTCTTCCTCCCTCTTACCCTCACTCCTACTCTAATTCCCCTTCCCTTCCTTCCTTCCTCCCTTCTCTTCCTTTCCTCTCTCTCCTTCCTTCTCTCTTCCATTTCTCGTCTCCTTACTTCATCCCTCTCTATTGCCGTATTCATTTTCAATTTTATATTTTCCACTATGGAGTCTAGGCAACCCCGATCTTTCTTTCATTTATCAAGTATATTTCTCAAAATTTCCCCTCATCTTTTTAATTATTAGCAGTATATTTCATCTTGTTCCATTTTTTCTTTTAAATCTTTACTCAATTTTCCAACCCTTAGACTTTTTACTTTTAACAATATATTTTTTCTACTTTACTTCTTACAAGTATGTCATTTAAATCATTTTTTACATTTCAATTTCATTCAATTTTACATTTAATTTCCATTTTTCATCTTAATTTCAATTAATTCTTATG